AAAAGACCGCAAACGGGCTGAGACTTGGTCTTGGACCCCTTGTTTTTCCAAGACGGTGTGGGGGGCAGACGCATACGCGGGCACCTTTTTAGGGGGGGGCAAATCCCCAATGGGGGGGGGGACGTTTTGGGGGGGAGCGGGGGCCCAAAAAAACTCCAAAAACCCCCCCTTTTAAACCCCCGGGGGAGGCCTTTTTTTCCCCCCCCCCCCCCCCCCCCCCCCCAATCCCCCATCCCCCCCCCCCCCCCGATAAATATGAAACCAGGATGGCCACCCGTACCGATAAGCGCTCGATCCTGAAAATCTTGTGGAAAAATAGGGGGCTATGACAGGTCTAAAATATGGCAGTATCTTGGTACGGGCATCGCTGTGGAAGTAGCTGTCCATCGACTAGTTGTGGCTTGTACTTATGTTTTCTGCATGCTACCCGGCAGTTCTGCTGAGTTCATAAGGCCAAACTGTATGAAACTACGCCTTACGCGTTCCGTACCGTTTCACCACAATTCAACCAGATGCAAAGACTTCAATCCACCAAAGCCTAGGCCAGCGGTATCAGCCAGCGTACGAGTAAGAGTGTTCAACATCGAGAAGATATCAGCGAGTAAACGGCTCCTGGTAGATATACATCACCTTAACTGCACCAAAGTAAAATGATCATTAATGACTAGAGGTAATCATTGATTACGGATCCGCGTTCGTCACTAGTGGAAACGAAATCGAATCGAAAGGAGTCCAGTTTCCCGGCCGGGATGCCCCTGATAAAATTAGTAGGAGCGCCTAATCGGCAGTCGCCCCCGATACCTTGAAAATTTGTGGCTTTGCACCACAGGAACACCAAGGTTACGATGCGTTCTGACGAACGCGACCAGTATTTTCTTAAAATATCAATAGTTAATGATTTTTTGGGTGCATCAACACTTTTCAGAGATGCCCAGGCATAAAATGGGGTACCTAATTGCAGGATATTTTTGGATATTTCGAAATACATCAAAAATGCAAAGTAACTCTTGACGGTCACAAGGAAAAACCGATATTGGTCTTTTGCACAACCATGTCTTAAATCGTCAACAGCAAGCCTACATCACAGTGGTTTCAAAGCTTAGTTGCTGCCGACCTCTTCCATGGATATAAAGACCTTACTAGACAATCTTCATGATGAAGTATCGTGTTCTGTTTGCATGTGTCCATTTACTGATCCAAAACAGTTACCCTGTTTGCACAGTTTCTGTCTTCAATGCCTGAACGATATTCAGCGATCGAGCGGCGTCCATGGCCAAATTACATGCCCCGAGTGCAGGAGACAGTTTCAGATCCCTGGAAGTGGAACTCCCAGCGAACTTCCNCCAGCGTACGAGTAAGAGTGTTCAACATCGAGAAGATATCAGCGAGTAAACGGCTCCTGGTAGATATACATCACCTTAACTGCACCAAAGTAAAATGATCATTAATGACTAGAGGTAATCATTGATTACGGATCCGCGTTCGTCACTAGTGGAAACGAAATCGAATCGAAAGGAGTCCAGTTTCCCGGCCGGGATGCCCCTGATAAAATTAGTAGGAGCGCCTAATCGGCAGTCGCCCCCGATACCTTGAAAATTTGTGGCTTTGCACCACAGGAACACCAAGGTTACGATGCGTTCTGACGAACGCGACCAGTATTTTCTTAAAATATCAATAGTTAATGATTTTTTGGGTGCATCAACACTTTTCAGAGATGCCCAGGCATAAAATGGGGTACCTAATTGCAGGATATTTTTGGATATTTCGAAATACATCAAAAATGCAAAGTAACTCTTGACGGTCACAAGGAAAAACCGATATTGGTCTTTTGCACAACCATGTCTTAAATCGTCAACAGCAAGCCTACATCACAGTGGTTTCAAAGCTTAGTTGCTGCCGACCTCTTCCATGGATATAAAGACCTTACTAGACAATCTTCATGATGAAGTATCGTGTTCTGTTTGCATGTGTCCATTTACTGATCCAAAACAGTTACCCTGTTTGCACAGTTTCTGTCTTCAATGCCTGAACGATATTCAGCGATCGAGCGGCGTCCATGGCCAAATTACATGCCCCGAGTGCAGGAGACAGTTTCAGATCCCTGGAAGTGGAACTCCCAGCGAACTTCCCACCAATTTTCGCATAAACAGTTTGCTAGATGTCCTGACAATTAAAGAGTGCAGTACAGCTAACGTGATATGTGGAAACTGCGACAAGCGGAGCGCACAGACCTTATATTGTTTCCAGTGTTGTTCTTTTTGGTGCGAGGAGTGTATTTTAGGACATAACATAATACGCACTAATAAAGACCACAAGACGCTGGCACTGAAAGATTTTCAAGATCAAGACATCGAGGCCGTGTTACAACGACCAGCATTTTGCCAGAAGAAACACCATGAAAAAAAAGAGCTCACATTTTTTTGTAAGGACTGCAAAGTCGCCATTTGCAACACTTGTGCTGTAACACTTCATGACGGCCACGGAAAGATGCTCTTGCAAGAAGCTACAGATGCGCGCAAGACGCAGATCAGCTCCGTGATTAAATCTTTAAAAGACAAGGCACTGGAAAAACGAAAGGAAATCGATGAATTAAAGAAAAAGGGCATGGACATTCAAGACCAAGTAGCCGAAGTCAAAAGCCACGTGAAGGGGAATGAAGACCAAATGATTGCAATCATCGAAGGGAGGAAACAAAATGTTTTTGATGCAGTCGATAACGAAGCGAAAAAATCACTGGAAACATTCTCACATAAAGAAAGCGAAGTTGAAAATCAAGTGGAAGCAATTGAATCAGGAATTGAAAAAATTGAATCGCTGTTGAAACGAAACTCCAGCACTGAAATCCTAGGATTCAATAAAACATTTTATACAATCCTGCAGCAACAGAGCACCGAGGAAAACCGTGACACCGAATGTGTTCCCCGCTTTACTTTCACTAAAAGTGAAAAACTGTTTAACGTGTTAAACGATGAAGGGATAGGTAATGTAACAACTTTTTTTAGCCAACCTAAAACGGCGCAAACATCATGAATTATGGAATAAAGGAAGATGTAAAGAATCAACCATAAGAGGACACAAAAAATTTGAGCCCCAAAAGGGATTCGAACCCCCGACCCTCCGTTTTCTCTTATGGTTGATTCTTTAAATCTTATTTTATTCCCTTTATTATATAATATGAGTAAAGTCATGAATGGAACGAAAAGAAAGCAGTAAATTAATTGCCGGGAGAAAAGGACGGGAAAATGTTTAGCAAGCGGCTCCTGACACTGACTCAAGCACTGTACACTCTACACACTCGAGCGAGGCTGCAGAAGTGTCTTGGTGTTGTAAAAGGAAAAAACAAAAACAAAAACAACAAAACAAAAATGAGGGAGGGAGGATGCGTGTATTCGGGAGTGTTGGGTGTCTTGGTAAGGTCGTCAAAGGGTAAAATGTGGGCTTTCCTGTGAAGAAATGGTTCCTTCCGCTTTATCGCATAATTATGCTTAAACAGTGTAAAGCTGTGCCTAACGCGTTTTTTGTGTGTTACATACCCCAATGCCACCATCAAATGCGAATTCGATCTACCTAAGCCTAGGCCAGCGGTATCACAGGGCAGTCAGTCCTTTATTTAGACAAAACCAAAGTGAATACACTTCAAGGCTGAAACTGTTGAAGCATCAAAAGCATCTACTTATAACTCAGAAATATGTCAAAACAGAATAACTTAGTTAGGGTACATGTGTAACTGATAGACATAGAAAAAAACATTTTTAGAAACATTGCAGTATGATCCTCTTTCTTCACTTTCTTGGAGCACCCATCTTCTTTTAATCTACTTATCGCCAGTCCGGTCTCTACCAAAATATTTTCTAATTATTTCTATATAGTTAATGAGTATGCAGATTAAAAATTTTTAGAATTGCATATATCAGTTATGGTAGATAACTGCTGCTAAAATACGTCAAAAAGTGCAAAGTAACTCTGTTGTGGTTGTTTATCATGATCATTACGTAATAACGGTTGGCATTCACTGTGCGTCACAAGGAAAAACCGATATTGGTGTTTCAGAACGGTTATTTCGCCACAGTATTTCAAAGCGTAGGTTGTTCCCAATAGGCCATTTGCACTAAGAGGCACGTGACATCGTTTTTATGAAAATGAAAGTTACATGATTTTGCCTTCGAAAAACGATTAGTGGGTCATATCTTAAACAAAATAATAGTCATTTGGTTTTTCAAACCCGCACCATTTTCTTAAAATGAATAAGTTCGTAAATGGTCACGTGACCAAAATGTGATTTTTAAAATTATGAATTATCTCTCTCTGAACACAAATTTTGCACTTAAACTTCAAGGAAAATGTTGAAAAGATGATGTGATAACGTTTACAGCAGATCTGAGCGTAACTATGAAAGGTTGAACAAGATATAAGCAAGAAGTAGTTTTGGCCGCCGTGATGGAGGGCAAAAGCATGCCCTCCAACATGGCGGCCAATACAAATCATACTTCTTTGCTGAAAAATCAAAGTGCCATAAAATATCTCCCTTAAGTGCGTTTCCTCTCAAATTTCGGGTGTAAGATAATTTTTGTGTGCTCTAACAGTTTTTGGCATCAGCAAGATTCCAACTCATTGTTTAAAGGAAGCATTGGTCACGTGACCTCTTAGTGCAAGTGGCCTATCTTTTCCATGGATATAAAGACCTTGCTGGACAATCTTCATGATGAGGTATCCTGCCCTGTGTGTATGTGTACATTCACTGATCCAAAGCAGTTGCCTTGTTTGCACAGTTTCTGTCTTCAATGCCTGAACGATATTCAGCGATCGAGCGGCGTCCATGGCCAAATTACATGCCCCGAGTGCAGGAGACAGTTTCAGATCCCTGGAAGTGGAACTCCCAGCGAACTTCCAACCAATTTTCGTATCAACAGTTTGCTAGATGTCCTGACAATTAAAGAGTGCAGTACAGCTAACGTGAAATGTGGAAACTGCGACAAAAGGAGTGCCCAGACCTTATATTGCTTCCAGTGTTGTTCTTTCTGGTGCGAGGAATGTATTTTAGGACATAACATAATACGCACCAATAAAGAACACAAAACACTGGCACTGAAAGATTTTCAAGATCAAGACATCGAGGCCGTGTTACAGCGACCAGCATTTTGCCAAAAGAAACTTCACGAAAAAGAAGAGCTTACGTTCTTTTGCAAGGACTGTAAAGTGGCCATTTGCAACACTTGTGCTGTAACACTTCATGATGGTCACGGGAAGATGCTGTTGCAAGAAGCTATAGATGCACGCAAGACGCAGATCAGCTCCGTGATTAAATCTTTCAAAGACAAGGCACTGGAAAAACGAAAGGAAGTGGAGCAATTGAAGAAAAGGAGCACGGAAGTTCACGACCAGGTTGCTGACGTGAAAAGCCAAGTACAGAGGAATGTAGACCAAATAACTGCAATTATAAGAGTAAAGAAACAGAATCTTTTTGATACAGTTGATTATCATGCGAAAAAATCACTCGAATCTCTCCAACAGAAAAAAAACGAATTGGAAAATCAAGCGAGAATAATTGAATCTGCGATTGAAAAAACTGAATCTTTGTTGAAACGCAGCTCCAGTACTGAAATCCTTGGATTCAGTGAAACATTTGATACAATCCTACAAGAAGAGCGCACCATTGAAAATCGTAACTCAGCTGAATCTATCCCGGCTCGGTTTAGTTTCAATAAAAGTGAAAATCTAATTGAGATTTTGAACAGTGAAGGGATAGGTGACGTAAAAGTTGTTTCTAGCGAAACTAAAGCGAAACGATCAGAGGCTGGATGTGAACAAAGCAGTGAGGTATTTGATGAAAATAGGAAACCTCAAGTTCGCCGGGCTAGTCAGGGTTCTAAAAGAGCAGACTTTCGGCGCGGTAGTCAATGTTCTGTTGACAGTCTGGTAGCACAATCGATGTATTTCATAAAGCAATCATTTGGACAAAAGGGTAAGTCTTTTGGAATGCTTTACAATCCTTACGGTGTGGCAGTGAATGGTCATGATGAAATTGCTGTGACTGAAAACTCTAACCACAGGGTTTCAGTGTTTAGTAGTGACGGTACCCACTTAAGATCGTTTGGAAAAAAAGGCAAGAGCTACGGTGAGTTCCAGTACCCTACAGGAATCGCTTTTGATAGTCTTGGTAACATTGTAGTTGCAGACAATGAAAACCACAGGGTACAAATCTTTGATGGCAATGGTAATTTTCTGAGAGCGTTTGGTAAACCAAAAAGTCGTGCGGACTACCAGCTTAAATGCCCTGAAGGTCTGTCAATAAACGACAACGATGATATTATCGTTGCTGATACCGGCAACCAGTTGATCAAGATATTTTCTTCTAGCGGGGAGTATTTACGCAAATTTGGCGGACCAGGTTTTTTTGCCTCTCCTTGTCACTGTATCCAACACGGGCAATATCTTATAGTTTCAGACTGCAGTAACCAAACTATTAAACTGTTTAAACATGAGGGAAAGTTTATTTCTAAATTTGGAAGGGAGGGGCATAAGTCTGGTGAGCTGAATAAGCCTCGTTACTTGTCAGTTAACAAAGAAGGATTGCTAATGGTGTGTGATTCAGGAAATCACAGGGTTCAGGTATTTGAATTGAGTGGAAAGTTTGTTACAAAGTTTGGAAGTAAAGGCAACGAGAAAGGGGAGTTTAAGCATCCAAATTCTACAGCAAATCTTAGTGATGGAAGGGTGGCAGTGTGTGACGGGGATAACCATCGAATCCAGATATTTGGCTGATCAAATGTGATTTAATTTTATCTTAAGATTCAGTCACTTAAAATTGAGATGTGCTGTTGTTCTCAGTGACTCGTATTTTTTGGAGGAAAAATATATTTTTTTGTAGTTTAGTTTCTTGGCCTTTCTTAATTTGCATGGTAGCATCGCTGATCTGCTGGGTGAGCTTAGTCATAACTTGTATAAATACTTAACAAAATAATACAAATTATACTCAGGTTTTTGATTGGTAAATATATTTTTGACAACCTTTTTAGTGTTAATGTTGTTTAATCTGTTAAGTAGTGCAACTAGTGTAGGGGTTCACATTAAAAAAAAAAACAGTTTCACGGATGCATGGTCACCTTTCTTATAGGGCGCTCATTCAAGTAGGTTATTTTTTTTAGTCCACATAAACAATAACGCAATTATTTTGAATGTGGTTGCGTGTATCATATATGCCAATATATAAAACAATAGACTGCGAGCAATCGTTTAATTTTCTTTAAAGATCAGTGGGTGGCGTATTTATGCGTACCACACTAGAAGCGACTAGAAATTACGCGGAACGAGCCATAACCGCGCAAAGCTCGCTTGTTAAAAAGTTTGTATGCAGTTTAATATAGAACACTGAGAGGATTTATAGTTAAAACTGTAGATTATGTTTGCTTAGAATTAGAGTGATTTTACTTGAACCGTGAATTAAAGAAGATAATATTAAGCAACTACTGTAGAGCAAAATAGCAACAAATGAACAAAAGAAGACAATAGAATTAGTGCATAATAGTACGTAGTATTCTACCACCTATTTCACGGCTTAAGTACGTAAAATCACTCTAGTCTGATGTGGAAATTTTAGGGGCTTATACCTTTTAACAATATTTCCTGATAACGGTTGTGTACTGGCTATTACGGCTTTGTACTAAACATGGTGTAATAACTATTACCATAAATTTGTAATAAACTAGTAATTTCATTGGACGCTTGCTTGGTTCGTTTTCCACGAAAACGTTTATTCCTTTTTACCTATTCCGTCCCGGAGGTTTGGCCAAAAAAGGTTAAAGCACTATCTAGACAAAAAAAAACCGAAAACTACCCAAAACGTCTTTTATTCGTGCATGTTTATAAATCCGCTTGCCTTCGTTACCTTTTTGAAATATATGCATTTATTACCAAGCGTGCGGTTAAGATGGCTAAATGTTGGCCAAAGTTCGTTTCTCTTTAGAATACAAGGTGTGCCACCACCTTCCCCTCCCTAGACATTTTTACAGGGCGATTGTGAGGTCCTGCGTTGCCGCGATGGAGCATTTTTCATCATAGGTCTTTTAGGGCATAGAGAATTTGTTTTCGTGGAATTTCACCGAGTCTTTTTCTTTTTATCCTTTTTAAAATAAAAACTTAAATCAGGCATCAGTAAACTTGGTAAGTGGAGCATGAAGGAAGTCATAGTTTTGAATACTAAAGCCTATACTCCTCAAGGCGTAAAAAAATGTTGTAAGTCAGAAATATGTCAAAAACGAACTATATTTTTGTTAAGTAGACCCATAATAGACTTCCGTACCATCCTCATTCTAGGGGGGCCCTCTTTAATTTCAGTCTTCCAATCGGCAGTCTCTATTTACGATTAGAAATGGATGTGTGTCAGTATAAAACGTTCTGAGAGAATGTGTAAAAAAGTTTAAATTTAATAGTTTACGATTTTGTTAGCAGATAACAATTCTCGGAAGTAAATATATCAACAATAGCACTCAGCTAATTGCTAATGCTAAGCTATGCAGGATATTTTTAGATTCCTTGGCAAATACGTCATATCAAGGGAAAGAAGTCTGTTTGATTGGTTATAAAAATCATAAAAACGCTTAGTCCGGGTCACTGGAAAGGCCCCGGTATTGTTCTTCGGCACGTAGCCGTTTCTTTAATCATCAATACATGTACAAGACTACAGTATTTCAAAACTCGCTTTGTTACCGATCTTTTCCATGGATATAAAAACCTTGCTGGACAATCTTAATGATGAAGTGTCCTGTTCTGTTTGCATGTGCCCATTCACTGATCCAAAGCAGTTGCCTTGTTTGCACAGTTTCTGTCTTCAATGCCTGAACAGAATTCAACGAACGAGCGGCGTCCATGGCCAAATTACATGCCCCGAGTGCAGGAGACAGTTTCAAATCCCTGGAAGTGGAAATCCCAGCGAGCTTCCAACCAATTTTCGTATCAACAGTTTGCTAGATGTCTTGGCAATTAAGGAGTGCAGTACAGCTAACGTGAAATGCGGAAACTGCGACAAGCGGAGGACCCAGACTTTATATTGTTTCCAATGTTGTTCTTTCTGGTGCGAGGAATGTATTTTAGGACATAACATAATACGCACCAATAAAGAACACAAAACTCTGGCACTGAAAGATTTTCAAGATCAAGATATCGAGGCCGTGTTACACCGACCAGCATATTGCCAAAAGAAACACCATGAGAAAGAAGAGCTCAAGATATTTTGCAAAAATTGTCAAGTCGCCATTTGCAACACTTGTGCTTTAACACTTCATGAACGTCATAGCAAAATGCTTTTGCAAGCAGCTACAGATGCCCGCAAGACACAGATAAATGCCCTGATAAATTCTTTAAAGAATAAAACACTAGAAAAACGAAAGGAGGTCGAAGAATTGCTCCAAAAGAGCAAGGAAGTTCAAGAGCAGGTAGCCGAAATAAGAAACCAAGTGCAGACGAATGTAGACCAAATGATTGAAATCATCCGAGCAAAGAAACAGGAAGTCTTTGATGCAATCAATAAGCAAGCGAAAGTATCACTGGAATCTCTCACAGAGAAAAAACACGTACTTGAAAATCAAATAACAACAATTAACTCTGCAATTGAACAAACGGAATCTTTGTTGAACCGAAGCTTCAATACTGAAATCCTTGGATTCACTGAAACATTTGATACAATCCTAAAGGAACAGGGCACCCAAGGAAACAGTGAATCTGAAAGTATTCCTCGGTTTAGTTTCACTAAAAGCGAAAAACTGATTAACCTGTTAAGCATGAGCGAGGGGATAGGTAATGTAGAATTTGTTTTTAGCGAAACTAAAGCTCAACAATCAGAAGCTGAACGTGAAGAAAGCGGTGAAGTATCTAGTGAAAACATTAGAGCAAAATTTGGCCGTGGAGGTTCTTTTGCGGAACCCAAGGTACAAACCAATCAATTGAGACGGAAATCATTTGGACAAAAGGGTAAGTCTTTTGGAATGCTTAACGAACCCTGGGGGATAGCAGTGAATGGTCTGGATGAAATTGCCGTGACTGAATACTGTAACCACAGGGTTTCAGTGTTTAGTAGCGACGGAACCCACTTAAGATNAACAATTAACTCTGCAATTGAACAAACGGAATCTTTGTTGAACCGAAGCTTCAATACTGAAATCCTTGGATTCACTGAAACATTTGATACAATCCTAAAGGAACAGGGCACCCAAGGAAACAGTGAATCTGAAAGTATTCCTCGGTTTAGTTTCACTAAAAGCGAAAAACTGATTAACCTGTTAAGCATGAGCGAGGGGATAGGTAATGTAGAATTTGTTTTTAGCGAAACTAAAGCTCAACAATCAGAAGCTGAACGTGAAGAAAGCGGTGAAGTATCTAGTGAAAACATTAGAGCAAAATTTGGCCGTGGAGGTTCTTTTGCGGAACCCAAGGTACAAACCAATCAATTGAGACGGAAATCATTTGGACAAAAGGGTAAGTCTTTTGGAATGCTTAACGAACCCTGGGGGATAGCAGTGAATGGTCTGGATGAAATTGCCGTGACTGAATACTGTAACCACAGGGTTTCAGTGTTTAGTAGCGACGGAACCCACTTAAGATCGTTTGGCAAGAAAGGTAAGAGCAATGGTGACTTCCAATACCCTACAGGAATCGCTTTTGATAGTCTTGGCAACATTGTGGTTGCAGACAATGATAACCACAGGGTGCAAATCTTTGATAGTAATGGCAACTTTCTTAGTAAGTTTGGTAAGGAAAAAAGTCGTGACCACCCCCCGCTCAAATGTCCTGAAGGTTTGTCGATAAACGGCAATGGTGATATCATTGTTGCTGATACCGGTACCCAATTAATCATGATATTTTCTTCTAGTGGGGAGTATTTACGAAAATTTGGCGGACCACGTTTTTTCCTCACTCCCTATCACTGTATCCAACTTGGACAATACTTTGTAGTCTCAGATTGCAATAACCATTCCATTAAAATATTAAATCTTGAGGGAAAGTTTATTTCTAAATTTGGGAAGGAGGGGAACCGGGATGGAGAGTTCAATAAGCCCCGTTATTTGTCAGTTAACAAACAAGGATTGTTAGTGGTCTGTGATTCGGGAAATAACAGAGTGCAGGTATTTGAACCAAGTGGAAAGTTTGTCACAAAGTTTGGAAGTAAGGGTAGCGGGGTCGGTGAGTTGAAGCATCCAAATTCTGCAGCAAATCTTAGCGATGGAAGGATAGTTGTGTGTGACGGGGATAACCATCGAATCCAGATATTTGATCAAATGTGCGATACAACTTTAGTTTAAGATTCAGTCACTTAAAAATGTGATCTACTTTTGCAGTTCAATGACTGGTCTTTTTGGAAGCCGAAAACCTTTTTGTGATCTTTTTTAGTTTATCTTTTTTGTGAGGATTATACATGCTGCGTTTCATTAGCTGACCTAATTATCTAGGTGAAACGAAATTAATGCCCCATTCACACCAACTAAACATTTTTCATTAAACCAGGTTCAGTTTAAAACATGAAAAACAGACATGGAAAACTGGAACACGGGGTTTCACACAGGATTCAAATGAAGTTCTGCATGTTTTGTAATTTTCACTAAATCTCAGTGCAATCAATTTAAGTTAGCAGCTTTTATGAAGGAAAGAAAATTCAGACCAACTAAAACAGCTTTTAAAAAGGCTGTTCAGTTAGCTTAAACATGTTTAAGCTTCGGTGTGAATGCGGCTTAGTCAAGCTTTTTAATTTTATAGAAAATGACATTTTTGTCAACGTTTTTAATTCTATATACCTTGTTTCGCAGTTTGTATAGGTAATAGCATGATTAGTGGTGATATTTGGCATAAATACCACGAGTGATATTTCGAAATTGTGATACTTAATTTCACGAGCTGTTAGGGAAGTGAAATTTGAGACAATTTTGAAATATCACGAGTGGTATTTATGCCAAATATCACGTACAAATCATGCTATTATTTGTTTATACTACTACCCGCAAAAGTTTTGTAATTTTTCCACGTAGGTATTTCAAATTTAGCTGAAATACCACTGCTCTAAGCCAATCAAAGTACAGAAATTTCTCATGTAGCGGTATAAAAATAGTAAACAACAATAGACTACGAGCAGTCGCTTAATTTTCTCCAAAGATCAGTAGGGTATGATGTGTACCACGCTGGCAGCAAGCAGCGACGTTACATTTTTTAAAATAATATGTTTTTCAAAGTTATTATATAATGTATTTTAATTGAGTTTACTTGAATTACGTTTGACAATATTTACAAGAGACTGCTTGAAGTTGCTCCTTCATGAAATTTTCTTCAAAGATCACCAGAGCAGCGAGCAGGCAGCAAATGTCGTGTGGGCCTCTCGCGTCACTCGCCCTCTCCGACTGGCGCTTACTTGTTACATGTGCCATCCCCCGGGATTTGAGGAAAAATAAGGGACTATTTGCATATTTCTATATACCAAAGGACAGCTTAAAGTATAGATCATTTATGTTTCAAGTAGATGAGAAAGTTAAAAGAGCAAAGACTTACTTAAAATAATAGCTATTGTGTTTTGTAGTAATCGTACAATATTGTAATAAACTTCAATTTGCACTCAAGAATTCAGTCTTTTTTTTGTCTCACTCGGAACTTGTATCTTCTTAGCTATTCCCCCTTGGAGATTTTGTCAACAAAAATCTTTGGAAGTTTAGTTTTCTCTAGTCACGTTTGACAAAAAAAAAAACAGAAAAAATACCGAAAACGTACTCAAAACGACGAGAGAACGAGGGGATTGTCTCTTGCCAAAACGTTGTTTAATTGTTTGTTAATGTTGATACCTCGGATGGCTTAAGTTTAGCCTGCACCACAGACGAGTCAAGCTACTGACTTTCTTTCACAGTGTAAAATACATGCAATATTGACCAAGCGAGAGATCGTGATGGCTGGATGTTGGCTAGATCATTATTATTATTGTTTTTGCGTTTTTTGTGCTGAGTCGAGGTCGGGGTCACTAAAACCACACTGAAAACAGGAAGGAGTCCAATATTTGATAATTTAGGCAATTTGACCGAACAAGCTCGGACAACAAAAGACCTATGAAGGTCTCAATGGGATAACCGTCAGCCGTCAAACGGCCTAAAATTTAACCGTCAACCGTCAAAACGTTTTAAGGTATCAGTAAATTTCACTATTTCAGCTGATCTTCCCGGACTTTGGGCTCCTGAAGAATCTCTATTAAAACTGGAAAAATCAGTTTCCATGTTGTCAAAAACATACTCTCTAGACGTAACAAGACCTTTAATACAACTTTCTTAAATCTGAAAATATTTGGAAAGGCCAAGACAACATCCAAGACACAAAAGTTAATTTTGATTTATATAGAAATCAATATTTACTTTAACTCCCCCCCCCCCCCCCCCCCCGG